AAAATAAAAATTTGATTCAACTAATTGAAATTCAACTATTTTATGTAAAGATATATATATATATATATATATTTGTTATCTAAATTTTGTTAAATTGTAATACAATAGAAATAAATTTTTATCTTTTTTATTTTCTTCAAACAATTTTTTTATACATAAATAATGATATATAAACGGTCTAATTAAAAAAATTCGCCCACGCTAATTTAGTAACTTTTGGTTATTTAGTTAAAATATGTGCTAAAAAAAACTAATATGTTTGGGATGACTTTTTAATTTTTTACAAAAAGATGTGAAAAAAATAAAGAGAAAAGAAATTTTTCGATTTTTTGATATAAATTATTGACTTTTTAATTTTTTTAATGACTTTTTAATATTTTAACTAAAAAAATCACTTACCAAACGAGACCTAAATCTCCTAATAAGTGAGGCCGGCCCTGTTGAGCACTTTAACAACATTAGAGTTGCATTGAACAAAACAAAAACCAAATGCATTGTTAGCTCAGCAACTCAACAAACTGTGCATTGAAGATGCTGATTATAATATTATTTTAATTATAACTAAATTTTTTTTTTTTATCTTGTTATAATTTGCATGTATGACATATACAGTAATCAAATCTACATATGTTATAATTTGCATGTATGACATATACAGTAATCAAATCTACATATGTTATAATTTGCATGTATGACATATACAGTAATCAAATCTACATATGTTATAATTTGCATGTGGTACATATAATAATATTATCCATATAAAAAATTATATATTTATATATTTAAGTAAGTATATCTTAATTTTATATAACATGCACTTTAACCCACTTTAACTGTATAATTAAGTACTGACTCAGCTTCTAAATTATAAAAAAAAATAAAAAAATAAAAAAAAAGAAACTAAACTGTTAACACGTAAAATTAAACCCTTGCACTTATCACTTTTGTTATATGACACTTGGTACGTAATTTTAAAGAATTTAATTTATAATTATTTTAAAATTTTACACTGTTTTAAAATTCGGTGGTACTACATGCATCAATTAATGTATTAAATAGTGTACCAACACTAGTTATGATATTATTATTGACCTCACTCATTAATCACATTACAAATATCAAAAACCTCTTAAATCAAGCCACATCATCAATTGATATACTAGTTAATATACTAATTAATGCATATAGTATTATTCTTCGAAATTTTCTCCATTAAAAATGCTATAACACTGCTTTAGCAAAGCTTTTAATACGTTCAGTAGAGCAAATTTTCTAAAAATTACTTGTCAAACTGCAAAAGTATTTGACCCAAACAATACCATAACGAAGTGGGTTATTTTTTTAACTTTTTAATTTTTTATTATTTTAGTTTGGGGTTAAAAAAATTCGTTTCAGATGAATTTTTTTAATTTTTATGAAAGAAATAATGTAATGATTATGAGTTAAATGTGATATTTTGTCTTATTAAACTAAAAACTTTTTTTTTTTTGGTGACTATTTTAATCAAAAAAATTCCAAAACCTAACTTCCAAACGAGCTCAATGTGTTGTTTGGTTGCACCGCAAGGCACCGGACACAAGGGGGCCGAAATTATATCTCCCATCGTATATAAAATTGTCTTTCATTTAATGGTACAAATAATCACTCTTATTCTTGGTGTTTTTTTTTTTTTTTTTAATCGATTAGATAAACAGAGATTGTAATGCAATGAATTATTAATTACTCTGAGATAAATAATTTTTTGATTATTTAACTGAAAATAATATATATTTATAATTAGCCTGACTTTTATCTTTTTAATTAAACAGTAAACTAATAAATCTATTAGACATGGAGTCTAATCATATACCTCAATCTCATAAAACAAATGCACCCAAAATATACTCACTATATAATCTCAACCCTTATTCTGAATATTACAAATTCCAGTTTTCATTGTGGATCAAGATCACTTGTTCCCTTTTATGTCCTCTTTTCAATCTATTTATATATTATTGGTTCGTATGATTGTTGATGTCGGCAAAAGTGATCCTATAAATTGTTTTAGGAAGTTGCTATTTTAATTAATTTTAAAAGATGTGTAAAGAAGTAAAAAAAAGAATTAAAAATCTTTTGTAATGACATTTTATGTATTTTTAGTTTGTTGCCAAAAACAACCTATCAACAAAGAAGGATGCTTAAAATGGGACAAATGATTTAGATTCCTTTAGCACTTGATTTTACATATTTGGTCAAGTCTTTTATCTTCTGTCTATCTAGTGTGATAAGCGTATTGGAGATGTTCTAAGTGGATTCTTCGGACGTCATATAAATATTTAGAAACTTATGAAATAATTGAAGAGAATTATGTGACATTGTCTATGTAATAATCTCAATAAATAAAAAATCGCAACATACACAAAATGAATAATTCTTTATTTCTCAACTACCTAACAAATGTGACTCAAAATATCCCACTCATAAAAGTTTTTACTATGTGATTGATTTAGAATACCACTTAAACAATGAAATTGTTGCGCGCAGCTTATCTGAGCTATTTATAGATATTTTTTTAAAAATATTTTTTTCTAAGAATCTGGTAGATAATTTAGTGTAGTTTTTGTTTATAATTTATTATGTACTAATAACTTAAGTAAATTTTTTTTAAAAAATGATTATCTAAAAGTTGAGAGTATTCTTCTATTTTTTATTATTAATTTTTAATCTAAAATAAGTTACACTAAATAAGTCCAATATCACATAATGTTTTGAAAAAAAGATTAAGATTGTATTTGAATCATGGATTTAGACAAAAATTAAAAAAGAAAATAAAAAAATGTAAGTGAAATCTACATAAAATAGTGATATTTCACCTCCATTTTATTTATTTATTTATTTATTCCTTTTCAAATCATACATAAATATATTATTAAAAGTAGTATTTTTCTCATACTTAGGTAGCACATTATAAGGCCTTATTTTTTTTCTTTTTCTTTTTTTCTAAGAACCATGTCACCATACTCTTTCTATTTACATATAAAATTCTACACAAATTCAATTTCAATTATAATAATCAATTTTATATTGATTCTATTTGGGAAATACATATTTTTCATATATATAATTTAAACTACACTTTCCTAATAAATAGTTTTAAAATAGATATTAAAGAAAATTAATACTCAACATAATTAATCCATCTATTTTTTCTTAATCTAACCGCCACATACTTATATTTAATTTTTTTAAATATTTTTTTTATAGCTTCCATTCCTACTTTTTTAAAAAAAATTTCCAACTAAATAAAATAAAGAAATAATTAGAATCACTTTTAATTGTACGTAACTATTGTTTTTTCCAATTTAACTATTATTATTAACGTCAAATTGAGTATTTATTTTACTATGTCATAATTTAATATCATATAAAATTATTATATATTTATTTTAGTTATATATTTATAACATGATAGGGTTAAAATTATTAAAATACACATAAATAATTGAAATAAAATTATTAAATATATTTGTTTAAATAATACGTTTACATAACAATAAGGTTAAGATTATTAAAATAAATAATTAGAATCATTCTTTAATTTAAATGACTTTTTTTTCCTCCAATTTAATCATTATTTCTAATATTAAAATGAATATTTATTTTATTATATTGAAATTAAGTACAAAAATATCATAGGGCAAACTTCACTTTACCTCCTTGTGATTTGGGCCGGGTGCAGATTATCTCCCCGGCATTCGGAAATCACCACATAACCCTCACGTGATTTATGGACCAGAGTGCACGTCTAGCTTCTGTTAACAACAATGGTAAATTGAGATTTATACCCTTGCCTTCTTCATTCTTTCATCTAATGTATGTTCTTCTTGCATCTTCTCTCTCTTATGGCAACAACCATGGCATCAATCATCGCTGCCAATCACCACCTCCATTCCTCTTTATTCTCATTCTCTTCTCTTCCCCCTCCTTGCTTGTTGATTCACCAAGAGTCAATCAAAGCTTCCTCCACAAATGCTAAATTTATTTCAACAACCAAAGATGTAATCAGATGATCACCCTCTCCAAAATCGTAGTATCCGAGCCCTTAACCCATTTGCATTTTTTCAGTACAGCCCTATTGTAGACGCGCCCGCGTGGGGGGCCCTGCTACAGTTCGGACTCAATTTGTGTCACGGTTCTAAGTCTGAACCAAAGAGTCCAAATCTGACAAATCGTTTTGAGAAAATAGGTTTTTAGAAAAAGAAGTGCCAAACATGGACTGCTTTGCCAGATACAGAGTCGCCACCTAAATATTTTTTATGGGGAAATTTAGGAAACCCTGACTCGGTGCCGAAGGCCACATGTCCGTCATCACCAGAGTTGCCTCGGCTCGGGAGCTAGGGTACGATTGAGGAAGGTCAGCTATGAGCAACCCCTGTCGCCCGATCCGAAGATCGGCCTCTACTAACCGTGATATTCGTTTTTGAAAACGTTATGTGTTCTCATTCCATTTATTAGCCTAGAATTACTATGTTATTTTTTTTATATTTATTACGTAATGAGTTTGTGATTGTCAAAACAAATAACTTCTACAGTCGTGTTTTATTAATACTTATCTTCTACTTCTCTTTTGACTGTAAGTATTTTTAATTCTATTTTTTATTTATTTTTATATTTAATCGAATGTTTGAAAAATTTATATTCAATTTGTTTTTAAATCATATCTCAAGTTGCACACGCTTTGGCTCATCATTACTAGGTAATCTCTTTCACTTGCAATTTTATTTAATTCTCCACAAAATGAGATTAGTACTTAAAATAATATGCATTATAAAAATATAAAAACAAACATATGAAAACACTTACATAAAAATATAAAGCTTATTATATTGTGAGTATACGAGTCGCATTGTGAATATACTATAACTGCCTCTTACATAATTTTATATAATGTAGGCACATTTTAAAGATAGTCGGATTTCATCTACGTAAGTGTTAGTTTGCTTACAATCTTAGGAAAAATGAATCACGATTACCCTGACACATCAAATTTGAGACATGTACAACAACAAAATCGTGAACGACGTCGTTTATACCTACAACAGAGGAGGCAACGCTCAGCTTCGGAACCAAATGCTCAAACTGAACAACCACAAAGAGAATTTGAACAGTTACGCATTCAAAACTTAAGCACTGAACAACGCTCAGCAAGATTGGAGCAACGTCGTCTTGCTCAGCGCAGGTGAAGATTGTTTATTCGCGAAGAAAGTGCGACCTCTAATTTGCAACAAAGAGAAATTCAAAGGAAAAGTTGGCGTAATTATGCTAGACAAAGGAGGGCTGCTTTGACTATTGAACAACGCGAACAACAACTTGCAAGGCGACGAACAAATTATTGACAAAGAAGGAAAATATCTGAAAATATCGAACAAACTTCTCATTCAAATCAAGTACATAATATGACGAATGCACAAACAAGTAGTAAGTATTCAAATGTTATAAACATTTTTTTTTGTAAGCTTTTACACTTTTGACATTAATATTCATTTAATTTATTATTTATAATTTAACTACTAGGATGCATGTTAAACTTTTCGATGCAATCCCAAGAAGAAATAGAACAGGATGGTGTAGGCCGCGAGCAACAGTTTTGCCAACCATTCACGAAGAAGGCAATTTGGTTGCGACTAATGTTTTTAGACGGGAAAGTAGAATGATTGCACTCGCACGTATTGACTTACCCCGATATGCACCTACTCATTCAACGTATGAGCATGGAAGCACGAGTGGCAACAGACAAGATCTTCGCGAAGTTCAGATGGAAGGTACAAATAATTTATTTAGTTTAAGTACTTTTACAAAATAAACAACCTTTACAATAAATGTAAAAAATATGATCATGCAAATATGATATGCAGTACAATTACATTTAATATTCAACATGAAACTCAAACACTTTCAAATAAATACTATTGTGTTAATAATAAATCCATACATCATACATGTATTGTTATAGGAAATATCCCTCACGTCGACCACAATCAGGATGCTTTGAGTGATGAAGATATTCCAGATAATCAATCATTTATCCATAGGAGATATCATAATTGTGCAAGAAATTTTCATGAAAGTGAAAGGTTCCAAAGAATGCAGTTCCCTGCTCCAACTACATGTAGACATTGCAACGCAAGATTGTTCCACCGTGAAACATCTACCATGTGTTGTAATAATGGAACAATTATTTTGCCACCAGTAACAGCTCCAAATGAGATGATTGATATTTTCTTTGACCAAACAGTGGAAGGTTGTCATTTCAGACAAAATATTCGAGCCTACAATCATGTTTTCTCGTTCACTTCAATGGGTGTTCATGTTGATGAAAACTTAGCAACAAGAACTCGAGGTGTGTACACGTTTCGTGCACAAGGAGCCATATATCATAAGATTGGGAGTCTCTTACCAAATTCTAGCGACAGACTGAGATATTTGCAACTGTATGTTTATGACACTGACCACGAGAATGAGAATCGAATGTCTGAAAATGAAGAATTGCACTTGGATTTGCTTGACAAGATAAAGAATATTTTAAATACTCATAATCCATTTGTACACACATTTTGCCAATTGGCTCAGCGTCCAGACATACATGAATGCAGACTTCAAATCAAAGAGCAACCATGTAATAGGCCCCAATACAACCTTCCTACTGCTCCTGAAGTTGCTGCAGTTTTAGTAGGTGGCGAAGAAACTGGAAATTTAAAACCAAGAGATATCATTGTCCAATCAACCAGTGGTCACCTCCTAAATATTTCTGATATTGTCGGATACTATGATCCATTACAGTATCCTCTGTTGTTACCCTACGGTTCATATGGATGGGATGTAAATACCAGAAGTAATGATGGCAGAAAAGTAACATGTTGTGATTTCTATTCTTATATGCTACAGGTAACGACATATACATAATATTAAAAAATTACTTTGTCGAAGTTATTCAATCTATAATTATTTCGTATAAAATCTTTACTTTTAATTATTTATAAGTATTGAAATACTATCAATTCAGATTCGCCCTGGTGATCAATCTCTTTTTCTTCGAGGAGGTCGTCTCTTACAGCAGTATGTTGTAGATAATTACGTGAAGATTGAGTCCAACAAATTAAGATGGATACGTACTCATCAGAATCACATTCGAGCAGATTTTTATCAAGGTCTTCTAGATGCAATACATGCTGGTGAAAATTATGGAGGTACAAATTGTCACGTACGATATTACAATTACATGTACGGATGTTTGTTTATATTCATACATACAATTTCTTTTTTCCTTTTGTGAAATATTTGTTTAGGTAATGTTGGTCGTAGAACAATATTGCCATCGTCATTTGTTGGTAGCCCACGAGACATGTATCAGCGATATCAAGATGTAATGGCTTTGGTCCAAAAGTATGAAAAACCTGATCTTTTCCTTACGATGACTTGCAATCCAAATTGACCTGAAATTAAAGCTGAGTTGCTACCTGGACAGTCACCACATGATCGTCCTGATTTGCTAACAAGAATATTTCATTCAAAATTTGATGAGATGAAGACCGACATTCTTACAAAACATGTACTCGGGAAGGTTCTGGCATATGCATATGTTATTGAGTACCAGAAAAGAGGCTTACCACATGCCCACATGGTCGTTATTTTGGATGAAAATTATAAGTTACGCACTCCTGATGATTATGATAACATTGTCAGAGCTGAAATTCCAGACAAGAGATTAGAGCCTAGATTATACAGTGCAGTTTTGAAACACATGATACATGGCCCATGTGGAATGTACAATGAACGGTCCCCGTGTATGACAAATGGTCGGTGCAAAAGACGTTTCCCAAAGCCATTTTCTTCAATTACTACACTTGGAAACGATTCATATCCTATTTATCGAAGAAGAGAAGGGGTGTCAGTTCCTGTAGAGAGTAATCCAAGTGTCTTGGTGGATAATAGTTGGGTCATTCCATACAACCCATGGTTGCTCTTGAAATATGATTGTCATATCAATCTTGAAATTTGCAGTAGTGTTACAAGTGTAAAGTATTTATACAAATATGTTTATAAAGGGCCTGACCGTGTTGCATTAGAAGTTCATCAAGGTCCTAATTATGACGAAGTACAACAGTTCATAGATGGAAGATGGGTTTGTGCTCCAGAAGCATTGTGGAAAATATTCAAATTCTCAATGACCAAAATGACTCCTAGCGTAGAACGCCTCCAAATACACTTACCAAATAAGCAGCAAGTGAGGTTTTATACGTTCTAAGACATCACAAATGTTTTAGGCGATGAGTATTATTCCAGAACAATGCTTACCCAATTCTTTCAATTAAATGTTGATGATGAAACTGCAAATCGATACTTATATCGAGAGATACCGCAACACTATAGATAGTGCAATAGCGCAAAGATATGGCAGTTGAGATTGAACCATCAAAGAGTAATTGGTAGAATTTACACAGTTTCGCCATCAGAAGGGGAGAGATTTTACTTAAGAATTTTACTCAATCATATCCGAGGACCAAAATCATTCGATCATTTGTTGATGGTTAATGAATTGCGTACCCAACTTTTAAACAAGCAGCTGAACATCATGGTTTGTTAGAGCATGATGATAGCATACGACAATGTTTGTTAGAAGCTACAACCATGCACATGCCATCAGCTTTAAGGAGATGTTCGTTACAATTTTGGTTTACTGTGTGCCAATAGGGGTGCGAAGTTTGTGGGATGAAATTTATCCTTACTTGATTGAAGATTACATATCTTCAAACAATATGAATAATATGTATATCCTTAAAAAAACCCTGCAAGATATAAACCGCCTCCTGCTACAGCATAATAAAAACATATCAGAATACGATTTGCCTGAGATGACAATGAATTTGGATGATAATTCAACAGTTCCAAAGGTCATACAAGATGAGTTTTCCATTGTAACTCCTCGAAAAGACTTAAATTCTATTGCCACATTAAATAGTGATCAACACTTAGCATTCAATTCAATCATGGAGGCTGTGGAATGCAATACTGGTGCAATCTTCTTTGTGGATGGCCCAGGAGGAACTGGAAAGACATATTTATATCGTGCACTATTGGCCTCAGTGAGAAGTCAAGGGAGAATTGCCATTGCAACAGCAACTTCAGGAATTGCAGCTACACTTTTACCTGGTGGAAGGACTGCCCATTCAAGATTCAAGATCCCCTTAAATCCAGAGGCTTCATCTGTGTGTTCCATTCCTAAACAATCAGATTTGGCAGAATTGATTAGACGTGCAACAGTCATCATTTGGGATGAAGCTACAATGACAAATCGTTATGCTTTTGAAGCCTTGAATCGAACACTCATAGACATCACTGGTGTTGATTATCCATTTGGTGGCAAAATTATGGTGTTTGGTGGTGATTTTCGACAAGTACTTCCAGTTGTTCCTAAAGGTACAAAAGCTGAAACTATTGCTGCATCGATAGTCAAATCACCTCTTTGGAGTCACATTCAAATACTTCGTTTAAAGCAAAACATGCGCTCTATAAATGACCAACAGTTTGGTGAATTTCTTTTATCTGTTGGAAATGGTGTACAACCTACCATTATAGATGAAATGATCAAAGTACCAACATCGATGGCAATACCATGGAATGGCGAAGAATCAATAGTTCAACTATTAGAAGAAATTTATCCTGATATCATAAACCATTCTTTTGACGCCGAGTATATGGTTAGTAAGGGCATAATAACTCCTCGCAATGAAGATGTTGACAAGCTCAATGAGAAAATCATTCAGAGATTTCCAAGAGAATCAAGAGTGTACCACTCATTTGATAAAGTTGAAAATGATACCCAAAATTTGTATCAACAAGAGTTTTTAAATTCCATTTCACCAGGAGGAATGCCCCCACATGCATTGCATTTGAAAGTTGGAGCCCCAATTATACTTTTGAGGAATCTTAACCCTTCTTCTGGTTTGTGCAATGGCACAAGGCTACTGTGTCGAGCTTTGAACGATAATTTCATAGATTCAGAGATTTTAACAGGACATTTCAAAGGCACGAGAGTTTTCCTACATCGCATTCCATTAAAGGCTCCGGAAAACTTAAAACTTCCATTTAAAATGACTCGCACACAATTTCCAGTTCGCCTTAGTTTTGCTTTGACGATAAATAAATCACAAGGTCAAACAATTCCACATGTGGGAATTTACCTTCCGGATCATGTATTTAGTCATGGGCAACTATATGTTTCTTTATCTCGAGGGGTGTCAGATCAAACAACGAAAGTCTTGGTTAAAAAGGGTTCAGTTAATAATGAAGAAGGAGTGTATACCTGCAATGTAGTCTACAAGGACTTTTTGTTACCAAATTATTGATGCATGAGGTATGTACTAAATATGTTCTTATTCAACTTATATTATGTCATTTCTTAAAATCTACAATTAATATACTTATAATATATCTTCATATAATTATTGATTGTAGAAATACTTGAAAAAATAAAGCTACTTCAGCTTTGGGAGAATTATCAAGAGGAAGCAAATATGGTTGCAGATAAGAAAGTTAAAAATCAGGTATTGGCTTCACTTATGTTCAAAAAATAATGTTTGCAAAATTTTTGCTATTTAATCTGACAATATTCGCATATATTTTGAGTTTGACTATACCTTTTAAATTAATGTAGGTCAAACAGTTCTCCATATACAGTCTTGGATGGAAGGTCTCTATTAAAGTTGATAAAAAACAATTGGGAAAATTAATTGTGCGAGAGCTTTTGAGGCAACGACAACATCGATATGATAATGTGTTTGTGGCATTTTATATTAATAATTTCAATATGTTACATTTGCTAATAGTTATTGTAATCTTTTTATAGAAATCATATCATATCTGATAGAGCAAGTATATGCAGCAAAGACAATATGGACATATATGTGGTAAAAGATCAAGTCTTATGAACTTTACTACTACGCTCCATATATTCATATTTGTGAATTTACAAATTAATTTTAGGTTTTATAAATTTGTCAAACAATCAACTTACATGACTGTGAGATATTTTTCCTCAGTTTTATAGGCAACGAATGATTCAAAAATTGAAAGCTTACAAATATATGTGCAACATTGTTACAAGGTAATCTACTTATAGGTTTGTATGTATAACTAAAGTTACGTACTTCATTTTCCGGCAATTTCATCTTATTTTTTGTAGTTTAATGTTGTCATAGATCTATGGCAAAAATTGCATCAAAACAATTTGAAGAGATCATTGAACGTGATATTTGATATGAACGATGTCAATCTATGTCGATATGTAAGTTTTTAATTTTTAGATTTTGTTTACAAAAAATTAACACAATAATTACCTTTTGTGTCTTTATACATAATAAGCCAATTATAAAACCAAACTTATGTATAATTATGCCTCATAACGTAAAATATAATTTTAATTAATGTATACTATTAGCAATCTTATGATAAATATAACTTATATATACATATATATATATATATATATATTTTTTGCAGGATTTGTATGCAGGATCTCCGGTCTCATGTTATCAAATTTAGATTTTATATGAATTTTTATTGTACAATTTTTTTAGTTAAGATTAGTAAATATTTCAATTTTTAAAACACGTGTACATATTGTGATGCACATATGTTTTATTTACCAAATACGTTAATATCAAATGTTACATTGCACATAATTATTCATATGGTTTATATGTATATTATTAGAAAAAATAATATCAAAATCATATTATAATTTTAAACGAGTTTGCACACGCATCGCGTGTGTCCGGCCGCTAGTATATATATATATATTTAAACTACACTTTCATAGTTTAACAGAACGAAAATTGTACTATATATTTCATAATATATTTTTTAAATAATTCTATAGATAGATATACATAAATATATATATTATTGTTTTGTAATGTATATATTGTAATATATTTTTAAAAATAATTTATATATAAATAATTTAATTTAATTTTATAAAATATTATTTGAAAAAAAAAAAAAGAGATTAACTAATTATATTGATATACGTGATTTATATGTGTACATATATATATTTTTTGATAAATATATGTATATTTATATATTATGCTAGATAAAGTGAATTAACTACTAGGGTATATTTGGACAATTTGGGAAGAAGCTAAAAAAGTTAAGTTTTTAGCTCTTTAGTTTTTTAATACAAAAAAGTCAAAAAAAAATAATTTTTTTAACACAAAAAAGATAAAAAGTTACAAAAAAGTCAAAAAATCAATTTTTTACCAATTTTTCAGATCATCACATTATAATTCATAGTTCAAAACAATCTAAACCAGCAATATTTTGGAGGAAAAAATTTTAAAGCTCTAATTATAGAACTCTAATGAGTTGATAGTAAACCCCACCTATTAATGATGTGATATATGTATCTTGATTTTTTTTTTTTATATATATATTTATGACTTCTTGTCATTTCCATCATTAGTGCTCTTATCAGAATTCTTACGTTTTCCTCGTGGATTCCTAGGGAATGTGTTTCTTAGAAAAACGAAGCCACGTGAAACTCGAGTTGAGGTTGTTTTATCATAATTTCACTGAGAAGATCCTTCAAGAATCTTTGCAGAATTTGTTACTTTGCAATTTGTTAGCATGTAGAGATCATGATATAATTCAGGGGAGGGTAATGGTTATTTGTTGATTTTGTTTTGGTTTCGCTATTTTTAAAAAATAGTTAAAAGTTATTTTTTAATTTTTAATTTATTTTTGAGTCAAATAATCTCTCATAAGTTTTCATATTTTTATAAAAAAAATATAAAAAATAATTTTTAATTATCTTTTCAAAACAATCATTTGTCATACATAATTCAATATTTAATATTTATATTAAACAAATCATTTTACTTGGACAAATAAACTTAGAGCCTGTTTGGGAAGACAATTTTGGGCTAATTTAGCCACTACCGTCCAAAAAAGGCTAATTTAGCCACTACCGTCCAAATCACCTTCACGTGCTTACACAGTTCCTTCTCTAACAAAAAGCTAATTATAATCAATTTTTAACTAAAAAAATTAATTATAACCGTCTTCGCAAAATAACCCTAAGCTATCTTCCCAAAATAGCCCTCGGCCTGATTACTGCACTCAGACAAGTACTTGTAAATATATTATTATATTGATGAAATGATAAATATAATAATATGTATATTTACCATGTTAATGAATAATTTTTAGGTATTCTAATTACTAATCGATAAAGACTTGGTACCAGCTCTATCTCATAGTAGATAAACTATGTAGGGGGCCCAACTTAGAATTGTGGCTTCCGCTTAACGAAAATCTGAAAAATAATTAATTAAAAATTATTAAAACAAATTTATTAGAACTTTTCATGTAGTTTGACCTAAAAGAAACATAGATAAAATACAAATGGAAGGCTGCGTTTGCTTGGATTTTCTAAATATATTTCTATTCATTTGTTTGCGTTTAACGTTTGTTTACGATTTTTAAAAGTTAATTTCACATTTAATTTTAAAAATTCTGTCCAATATGAAAAAATTTGAACTAACTGGTCATCCCACCGGACGTCCTACCGGTCTTCCGGCTAGTTGACCGGAACAATACATTTTTTTTGGACACATGTTAATTTTTATATATTCAATAAAAAATATTTTCTGAATTTTTTTAAATTTTTTATGAGTTTTGAATAGAATTTTGAGTTGTATGTGTTGGTTATGAATTGTAAGTTTTTGTATCAAATATCATGTCACATCAAAAATTTCCCACTCAATTCAAAATTCATTCACCAAACAAATTTTCACACTCAAATAATAATTCCAAAACTCACAAACTCAAAATACAACTCATATTTTCAAATCATATCTAGAAAACTCTACCAAACACTACTGAAGATTTTCCAATCTAGTAATTTCATAAAGTGTTTGGTCCAATAGATATTTTTTTATTAGTGAGAAGTCTATGTAATGCTAGAGACCTTAAAAATTTTATCAAAATTTTTTTGATAAAAACATTTGGGTCTCTCTCTAACATTTTTTTTGTTTTTTGGTGAAATAGTTTGGTATAAGCCATTTTATTGTTTTGGATAATATTTTTTTTCAAATGTTATCCTTTAACTTATCTGTGCAATATTTTTATTTGTTCAAATTTTTTAATCTATCAGTTTAAATTTATATTTATCTGTTCAATTTTGTTGCAACTATCTGTTCTCTTATTTTTTTCCCTATCTGTTGAAATTCAAGCTTATTATCCCCTATGTGTTATTTCACAAGCCTATTTTTTTTCCTATCTACTTATTTCTTTATCTGTTTAAATTGTGATATACATACACAAAGAGAGACTGATGTTCAAATCAAATTCTCATATAGGATGAGGACAGAGTGATCTGTTAAAATACACCAAGCCACTATCTGTTCAAAAACAACAACAACAACAACAACAACAAAAAACTCCATTCTCCATCGATGATGAAAGATCTGCTGCTGCTAGCATACATCAGGAGGAGAAAAAAATAAAATAAAATTTTTGTTTATTACCACGAAATCTTCAAGAGAAAGATAAAGAGAATCATATTATTTCATCATAGATTCTAATATTTTCAGAGGAATCAAATTTCAAAACCAATGGGTGAATCTACGACATGCACACACTCCCAACTACGAGACACAGAGAGATGGAGAGAGAAGAGTCAAAACATTACAAATAAGGAGGGAGGGCTTGAATGTAGAAAAACTCCAAAAATGTGATAGATCGAAAGGACAATGGAGATCTGGAGCTCGATCATAGAGTTTCGTCCAAATCTGGATCATTTCTCTCAAACTTCGTAGGGTTCCGCCGTAGATGGTGGAGTTGCCTGCGACGGTGAAGAGGGATCGGAGAAAGGAGGTACGGTAGGGAGTGGTGGCGATGAGCTTCTTTGAGGCCATGCTGGCTTCGTCTGTGATCTCAGTGTTGTTTTCATAAGACAATAATTCTAGAGCGAGAAAAGAGAGGCCAACGACCATGTAGGCGACGGGGAAGATGCGGTCGACGGCGACGTCAGAGTAGACGACAGCGGTGGCGTTCCAGTTCCAGGGTAGAAGGTAGTCGCTACCGTCTGTGGTGGTACTGGTACTGGTGCTGGCGGCGGCGGTGGCGTACTTCATCGAAGATCGGAGATGTTGAAATGAAGAGGAGAGAGAGAGAGAGAGAAAGCGGGAGGGGTTTGGGAATTCCCAAACTATGTATACAATAACCGTTTTGAGAAGTGGGTTAAAATTGGTTTTAATTTATTTTAGATTATATTATTTTATATATTTTTTTTTAAAAAAAAATGTTAAAAAAAAGGTTAAAAAAATGAATTTTTAGCCATCTTTCTAAAACATTTCAATATATATATACACATGGTTATTTCGCCCACGCATGTTTTTATGAATAAAGTATTTTAGCGTGTGAACTTTTTTTCGAATAAAATTTGAATTTGAATTTATGTACTAAGTACCCTTTTTTCAGTGGCTAAATAGGTTTAAATTAAATATTTTAGAAATTAATAGATTCAATTAATCATTCAAGAACTAAGTAGATTTTGATTTATATATTTTAAAATTTTACTAGATTTAATCAAATAATTAAAGAATTAAATAGATAATTTGATAATAGTTCAAAAATAGAATCTAAAATGCACCCTTAAAAAAAAATCCATACGACAAAAATGCCCAATAAAATTTACTAATAAGATCACAATGGAAAAAAAAAAATACTAACAAGATTATTAAGGTGGTGTTTGATAAAATTAAAGGTTGAAAAGTTAAAAACTAAATACAAAAAATTAAACATTTAAATTTTAAATCGAAAAAATGTTTGATAAAAATTTAAGTAAAACAAGTTATTTGATACGTACAAAATCAAATTTGAAATTTATTATTTACAAATTGAATATTTCAATTTTTATATTATGATAGTGATAGTGGCCGCGGTGGTGGTAGAGGTGGTGGTGTTTATAGTGCCAATGGCAACAATGATGAAAGTAGAGAGATAATAGTTGTAGTAATAGTGGACACATAAGTACTAAAGAGGATAATGTACTAAAGCTAAAAAGAAGGTAGTAGTGATGGTCTAATGATTGTGGTAATTGTGGCGATTGTGATGGTGGTGATGAAATGATGGTGGTTCCAATGGCAACGATGATAATAGTGGTCATGGTGGAGGGTTTGTGGTGGTAGCAATAACAGCAGCTGTAGTGGTAGCAGTGGCAATGACCATGGTGGTAGTGGTTCTAATGGTGA